TCCTCAATGTGTCTTTGGTGCATTTACACCCACTTAGAGCAGTCCACTTTTAAACGGCTCACACAAGACACATTTTAATGTGTGAAGAAGGTACTTCTAACCATCTTAGTTTAGTGTGTTAGCATGCTAACATGGTAATTAGCTTTACAGTTTTTCTCGATTGTTGAGACAAGCTTAATGAAACTGGGATCAACTTGATCTTCATTATCACCTTCTTAGCACAGCAGATGTGAAAATGTGTTAACTTTTTCATTTTTCTCACACCCTTTTTCAGACAGTTATCTTGATCTCATAGAAAGACCTCAAACTATTTGATTAACTGTGTTGAAAAAACAGAAAACATCTATTCACAACTGATTTTAAAAAAGATGCCACTTCTGTGTTTTTATTTGCAGGCGTGGATCAGAGAGACCAAAGGCTGTATGGAAAGTAGAGGTCATGACAGACATGTCAAAGGAAGTGGAATTTGCAGGTGTGGTGGAGAAGTCGCAGTAGGAAGAGAAATAGAGTTCAAGTTTCAAATGAAAATCAGGTAACAATGATAGTACTGACCATGCTATCAATTATGGCTTATTTTTTAGCACTGTGGCGTCTATTGTCAGACTTTCATAAAGAGAAATGGTAACTCACATCGTTACTATGTATCATAGGTGTCATTTACACCACCACATTTTGAAATAGCTGATTTTGTTCCCATAACTTTTTGAAAGCGTTTGTTAAAAATGTTCTGGATAATAGCTTGCAACAACAACTAACAAATGAAAATGCTTTGCGAAAGGTGTGTTTGCACAAAAAGAAAACTTGCAATACAATTTAAAAATAGAAGAAACAAATGTGCATTTTCCAAAAAAGTAACTTAAGCTATATATATATATAAGCTGCATCATATTCTGCTATATTTCTATATTAATGAATTGTCACCTGCCCGCTTAATTTTTTGTTTCCCTTTATATAAATAAATACATTTCCACCATAGATTGGAGCAAGAACTGTTTCTGGGGGAAGACCCACACTCATATAGCTCAGCATTTCATATTTCTTCACAATAGTGTTAAAAATCTTCTCGTATAGTTCTCCTGCATCCTCACGTCTCGTGACCCGTGTATCACCCCTCTAATCTGAACCCTTATGTCCCCACCACTTTGTAACACAAAGTGGCACTCTTGCTGTGTACCACTGTGTTTTTCAGCTTTACTGTATTGCCCTGTTGGCAGAACAAACTGTGTCTACAGTAATGCACTTGTTTAATTGAACACATTTATGTGACAATCATAAGGTCAATTTTGACATGGTTTTTGTATTTCACAGTATTACAGTTTTTCAACAGGGCATCTAAAAAAAGTGTAAAAGGTGCAGGTGCAGAGTGCAGCAGGGTTTGTTATCTCTAGTGATGTTTTAACACTGTCTCGCAGCCGCCTCACCAAGCAGGAGTTGCCTCTTGCACCTTCTGTGGGGTGGTTGGCATAAGAAACCGCTCTTCCATCAACCTAGGGCAGAGCCTTGCAGGGTTTTCATGTGGGCACCTCATCTCTGTTTTTTCGATTGGCCCTTGACACCTCCGAGGGGCTTGACAGTAGAACCAGCTTCCTGGAACCACCCCCTCAGTCTCTCAGGTGTCACCACCTCCTCTCCCCTGCCAGCCTGAATGCGCCACTCCTCACCCCTTTTCAACCAGAGCCATCTGAATGCAGTCTGCTTCCTAGAGATCCCAGAGATTTCCATCGTACACAGTCCCACTAATTGCAGCTGCCCTGCTGGCTCACAGCCACTGCTCTGGCCTGTCTTGACTCTTCCTCTACTGCCTGGATTTCCCTCTGTACCATTCCCCTCCGCTCTCTTCACTTACATACATCCAACTTGAGGTGGACATGAATGTGCATACCAAATGTCCTGGTAATTCATTCAACAGCTGTCAAAACATTTCATTCAAAGCCACAAATGTCCACCTCATGGTGGCACTAGAGGAAAGTTTGTCAGGGAACAAATACTACGTGATAATTTTCAAGCAAATCACAAGCATTTGTAGGTCAGTAATCGGCCAAAATATTTAGCTCCAACTCCTTTTTGTATATCATTGTTAGAGAGCCTGATGTTGATTTCTGATCTTGAGAGAACTTACACTCCCAGTCCCCATGTGTCCAGCTTCCGTGTACTGAATATTTTCACACATGCAGTTCCCACACTGCTCCAACATGTTTTACCTCTTGTGCCAAACATGTGATTCAACGTGTTTCTGTAGAAGTATTTCCTCTAGCATCTGCCTCATTATTTAAAGGAAGATGGATACAAGCAATGCTTCCCAGACTGTAACATTTTAATCAGGTGAATTCTGTTGGGCATTAGGGAGTGGGAGCAACTTAAGATGGAAACATTTAATTCAGAGGAGGAAAACAAGGCCTGCAGATGACTAGCGATATGAGAAATGTCATGCCTAACAAATGTGTTTTGTGTTCCTGTCTGAGGACAGCCTATCTGTTGTTTGGGAAAGGTTGTTCTTTTACCATGTACTGTATATACTACTATGTACTATAAAACACTTATATTAATACCCCAGGCTTTTATTTGCTTCAATCAATGAAACCCACCCTGCCTATATTTTGGACAGGCTTCAATAAGAGACAGGCCAGTATGAATATTACTTATCTAAAAATTAGGCTTTCTTCATCTCTCTTATTTACCATGCAAGTAAGTCTTTGTTTCCATAAAATTACTGACCGATTAAATTGTGGAGACTCTAACCAGTCTAACGATGAGTAGCATGTCCATATTGACACTTAAACATTTATTTTTATTTGTATGTGCAATCTAAGTAGCTTAGAACTAGCTTAAGCAGGTGACCCAGTGGGCTTTAAGAGGTTTTAGACATTCAAATAAATTTTATTACAACAGAGCAGGTGTCTAATTGGGTTTCTTTGTCAAAACATGTAGCCACACCAGGCCAGTAAGAGGGGCAGGAGTCTAACTGAGACTAGGCTTTTAAATTAAGTTTAACAGGATATATAATATGTATAGGTATGTATAAATGTTTTCCAAAAATAGATAAGAGGATCATTTTCTAACATTGGTAGAAAAATGTTTAGATGATATTTACTCTCTTCTTCATTGTCTTCATAAATTAGTCACACAAATAAGTTTTTGCATTCTTTTCTTTTACATCTAGTAGTACTGTGTTGTCTGTGAATCTCCAACATCCAAAGGAAAATGTTATCTTGGTTTCAGATATAAACTTTCCATCGCCCTCTGCTGCCTCATATTGTCACAAACATCCCCAGCTCATTAACTTTACTTTAGTTGGTCTGTTATTTTGATGTAGTTCGCTCCTGTCATTTCAGATTCCAGTTCCTTCTCCTTCCTGATCATCACCTCGCTCCTGTCGTTGTTCCTGTCTAGTTTTGATTAATTCGTGTCTGTTTTGCTTAATTTCGAGACGTTCTTCTGCCTATCGATTTTGAATTTGTTTGCCTTTCGTGCTTTGACAGACAAGAGGGAACAGGCGAAGCAGTGTCAAGACCATAGACTGCATAAAGGTCAAGACATGAATGGAACAGAATCAAAACTAACCAGGGGCCGCTGGAATGCTAGGCTAATACTACAAGCAATCTAGCAAAAAAAAAACATTGCATAGGGGCTGGTATACAGTAAGTGCACAGATAATGAGCTGCAGGTGAGGAGCTGGGTCAGGCAGAGAGAGAGTTAGTGAATTTAGCTGTGGAGATTTGTGACACATATGTTGTTTCACTATTTGGATATTTACTATTTGCAGTAACCAGCAGACTGACCACTTTCAATCACTAGATGCCAGTGTGAAAATGTGCGTTTGACTTCATGCGGCGCTGCGCAGCGCTGACTTAACGTGATGTACGCTGGACTTACTATAAGGCATGCTGGTTAGAAATTGTGTCCGACTTTCGCCGGCGCTGCAAAACGTCACCATGTCGCATTACATTAAAACCTCGCGGGAGAAAGGCGGCTGCAGTTGCTTTTCCCCGGCTGCACCAAGTTGGTACCACACTTTTGCCTGGTCTCGCGGCATTTTTCTCACAGTAAGCTCAGGCAGGTAGAATGTGTCCGACTTGACGGCGCCGTTTTTATTCCCCGCTCCTGCAGTAACCTGGATCAAGTCGGCGAGAGTCAGCCGCCGTCATGTCGAGCGCACATACCACCCATATTTTAAAACCAGCCATAGCAATTTTTATAAACAGTCTTTGATGGCAATATCATGTGCATGACGGAGAGGGCAGTTTGTAAATGTAAGGGACAAAAAGACCCAGACAGGCCCCAGACTAAATTTTATATGGTGCTTGCAAGAGTTTTTGTTTTCTGTTTTTCTCTGTCATGAGCACGGATCCTGCAGTGCACACTGGGCTGTAAAGGCATCTGACTGTAGATGTTCACCTCTGCAAGGAAGGTGCAAAGTCAAAGGTGTGAGAAAAATCTCTCTTACAGTTTTTACACAGCACACACCTTATACCGTCTTCACAGAACACTTCATCTGATTAGCTTGCTCTGCATTTGATTTGAAGTGATACACAGCCATTGCATTCTTGGTCTAGCTGTAGCTGATATTAACGACCACTCCCGAAGTGGAGTTGTTTGCACAGTGACACCTCTCCCTGTGCTGCTGTTGGCCTGTCTGCATCAACTCCACACTAACTCTGTGAGACACACAGGGGAATCCATCTGGGAGGCAGATCCACCGCTGAAGGCTTTACAGGGTGAAGAAGGAAAATGATCTTTGACACCAGAAGGAACTGGAATCCATTTTCCCCATTTAATAGGGTGGACATTTCCAACAGACACTGTGCATACCCATACCAGTCTGTATTTCCATTTTAAATGTACAACAACCAAGGTGGTATTCTTTATTTAGAATAAGTACTAACACACCTCAATGATATATGTAAGTGTATTTTCCAACAGCACAGAAGTTAACGCCATCTGCATTGACACAATGTACACATTCAGCCAAGATTAAGAGTCCACTTTCTGTGTTTTGACTCTCTCATTTGACCTATTTATTCACTTATTCCTTCATTATTACAGAATCACAAAACAGCTCACCATATTACTGCTCTGAGCCTCCAGGACTATTACAGTGTCTACATGTACAATATCTAATGCTTAGATATTGTACATGTAGACACTGTAATAGTCCTGCCTTTTGATATTGTTAATGTACATCTGAGAATATTGCACATATCATGTTTCATTTATCACACTTCCTCAGTAAAGGTAAACAAAACTTAAAGCCACTATGTCAGAACTAAAAATGTCAGACTTTGGCGCCCCCTGTGCTAGTATCAAAAAAGACACTGTGTTAGACATGAATGAGCCGAAAACAACACACAAACTTTGCACCATTTTTCTAATGGATTGTCAGATTTTTCTTAAATATGCCAAAATATCTTATAAAATTGTACAATTCTATAACTGCTTTAAAAACATTTCACATAAGCACAAAGTAAGAAAAGAATCACATGGACACTTTATCACAAGCAGGAAATACAGTTAGCACATTTGTCTGATAAAAATGTGTGTGTCTGTGTGTGTACTGTATTTGTTGTAACACACAGTGCCACAACAAGTTAGGACAGAGATCACCATGGTCATATTAACACTGACAGACCTGTTTATTGGATAGGAAAGCATCAGGGCAGCCTTGATGTCTCGAGATGTAAACTCTTGATGAATTCCTCAGCTGCACTCTCACCTTCTGGTTCCCTTGTAAACAGAACAATCCCTCCACCGTGCCCCACCTCGCCCCTGGACTCCTATACCCTCATAACCTCCTGTGCTTATTCGCACGCAAGCACACTCTCTGCTGAGTGCCAGAAGGTTAATATGTGCACACAAAAAAATGGCCTCCCACCACTGATGGGTTTAGCCTTGATACAGAGAATCACTTGGAGAAAGCAAGATGCTATTTCTGTTGAATAGCGTAGTGTAGAGTGGGTTTTGATGCCTCCACCAGCTAATGCGCATGCAGCATTATGAAGGGCTTACCATATTCTTTTAATTTTTGCTTACTCTTCTGTCTCCATTTATCGATGCCATTAAAAAAAAATCTAATAAAAAGCTTGGAGGAGTGATTTCCCAATCTTCTCACTCAATCAACAGCTGTAAGAGGACATGTCAGAGATAAAGAGCTGTTTGCTCAAGAGGTAAATTTTATACAGTATCTTCCATTAACATATATATATATTAGTTACATACAGTACATATTAGAAGTGTCAGCAGTCCCATTTCAACATGTATCATGTAAAATCTCTCTCATTTTAAAGGGCAACACCAATCAGTATAAGTCAGCCCTGTAACAAAATAATGACAGGGAGAATGTGATGATACTACATTACCTTCGCCACAAAGAATCAGGGGAAAGAATGTGAAAAGGTAACTGAAAACACCTGCGAGCAGTGGAAAGGGCCTGGTGATAGGATTAAAATGATTATCACCAGAGTACCTCAGCTGGTAGAGTGCGTACCATGTACTTAGGCTGAGTCCTTACCGCAGTGACCAGGGTGCAATTGCAACCCTGGTCCTTTACTGCATGTCAACCCATCTCTCCCAACCTCTCTCTTCCGCTGTCACTGTCTAATAAAGGCTAAAATGCCAGAAAATTTAGAAGGAAAACAATTATCACCCAGATCAAATTAAGCTCCAACATTATTTAGATTCACAGTCCTGCAAAAAAAAAAAACAGGCATAGCTACAATTATATAGTTACTATAGGTGGCTATGGTTTTTACTATTGTCCATGTTAACAGATACATATTAATGAGGAGCATTAAGTAATTTGTCTCCTGCTATTTTCTGCTTGAACTATTGGTCACTCTTCTATTCTATTAATTGTTCTGTCAGTCAAATGAAAACGTAAAAAAAGAAATTTGCCTCACAATCTCACATGCGCTGGATTGCACCACACATCTGTAAAGGCCATGCGTCTAATGACATTAGCACAGTTGGTAAACCAGAGGTTCATCACACCAGAGATCCTGGGTTATAATTCCAAGTGAGTCAATTTTACATTTTCTTTCACCCAATGCAGCCAGCATACAGTATATCCTGTATCCTGGTCCATGTCAAAGCACAAAACGTCCGGCTTACCCACTACAGGTTTACCAGATTTACACTATTAACACAATACTTTAGTTCCCCTTCATTACATTTTCTGTCCATAAGGCCACAGAACTAAGCATGTAAATGTAGCACATAATACAATGCTTACCTATTTGAAATCATTCACATGAAAAGGGCTATGAGTTTTAGTTCAGGTCAAAAAAACAATACAACATACACTGCTATTGTACTGGATGTGCTCCAGATATACACTTAATGATTCAAGTTCAACAGGTAGGTGTTGAAACTGATGAGAAGCCCCTTATCCCCGTGTGACATGTCATCATTTTGTCAGCTAGGGGAGGAATAAATACTCAGTCTTATTTAAATCAAAGTCTGATTTAGGATGTTTATCCCGTCCCCATGCTGATTTGTCATCCTGTCCTCTTAGAGTGCACTAGATGGAGGAAATCAGTCCAGAATGGAGTTCCCTCATCTCTTTCATCCCTCTGACATCCTTCAATGCCATTAGACGGACCAGTAATCGCACGAGGATGAAAATAAAGCCAGAGTCTTTTCCATTCCATTAACCAGTGGAATGAAACTTAACAGTTACACAGCAAACCAATTAGTTGCCAAAGGTCACACATCATCATCGTCGTCATCATTCTGCCTCAGCCTCCTCTCATGACTCTGTCCTCTCTGGCTCCCTCTTTGAGGAAGCCGACCGACTGGATCCTGACAAAGCACGTACAGTTTCCAGATTTTCCGGAACGCTGTGCGGAACTTCTTGATGCGGAAAGCATAAACGATGGGGTTGGCGGCCGAGTTGCCGTGGGTGAGGATGATGGCAATGTATATGAGGTACTCTGGCTTATCGTAGGCAGGGCAAAAGAGTGTGATGCAGTTGAGGATGTGAAGAGGGAGCCAGCTGACCGCGAAGAGGAAAAGAACAAGGGCAAGCGACTTAGCTAGCTTAAGCTCTTTGCCAAAGTAACGGCTGGGGTCGGTGTGGCTAGCTGTCACCTATGGAGAGATAAAGGAGAAGATCATCAGCATAAAAATGTAGCTTTAGTCTAATCAGTTCATTTTAAAGCTAGGGTAGGTAACGTAGAAGAAACTAGTTAGAGACAGCTAGATTTTGAGAGTATACAACTGTAAAAAAATTCCATCCCCTCCCTTCAGGCCTCCCCCCAAATCTACTCCCCCAAAACACATTTCCATGCGCAGTGAGTGCACGGGCAGGTAGGCCAGGCCGTGCTTATTCCCTGCAGTCCACAGATTCAGGATTTTTTGCCGAGTATTTGATTTATTGATTGCTATGGAAGTGTAAAGATTTATTTTTATTTGAAATAAATTGCCTACCCCAAGTATATTATGTATATTTAATGGCAAAATGATTGCCTTTTGATTGCTTTATGTCAAACAAAGTGACTAGTTACACAAGAAAAGGAATTCCTCACCTTCTTGTTTAGCTGCTTGTGGATCATGTAGAAAATCTCGACATAGATGGCCAGCATGAGGAGTAGAGGGGGCAGCACCCAGCCAAAGAAGTTGAAGTAGACCATGTACTCCATGCTGATGACTGTCTCAAACTCGCACTTCACCAAGAGGTCATCCGTGATCAGGGAGCCATTGTCGCGGAGTCGCTGCAGGTTATTCCAGCCCATCATGGGCATGAGGCCCACTATGATGGATACAAGCCAACACAATAACACGGCCATGCCAGCTCGCCGAGGGGTCACCACCCGCTTGTAGCTATGACAACATGGGAGAAGATAAAGTGTTGAGAAAAAAAATCTCACACAGGATGACTGTCTAATTTCCACTGCCTTGTTTTGTTTTCCATTATACTATTTTGCAAAATTAATATCATATTACATTAAATCAAGTGCTTTGACTGTGCTGTATGTCATTTATATATTATCTCTGAAAAATGGTTACACTGTGACACCTTAAATAATATGCAAAATAACAAGAACATCTTGTTTTTAAATCAGTCCAATGCAACATCTAAATCGTTGCAAACAATTTACAAGAAATACTCCCCTTCTGAAGCTAATAATGTTAACTCTTTTTTGGGATTGTATTGTTCCTTAAGGTGACTACATAACGTTGATGAACAGGTGCAGGGTTTTTTGACCATGCTACTCTTAATATGTAAAAAGAATAATGGGTTATTTCTTCTTTCAAAAGTTATATAATCTTGCTTTAAGGCTGTAGTTTGTGAGGTTTTCGTATTGGACTGAACTTGATTAGCAACTGTTATGGTTATTTTATCCTCTAATAATTTATATTTATCTAATAATTTATAATTTCTGTTTGATCTCCCTTTTCTGGAAACTCCTTCCTTGTTCTTAGAAACAAATCAAGCATCGCATAGACACAAGTTAATACATATCAGTTCTTTGGAAGAGGACAACTGTGGGAGTTGTTGCGTGTCTGCAATACTTTGGTATGTTAATGCTATGTCACTCTTCCTGTCTCTCCCACACAACGGTCAGCTATGGGACAGGTCAATGAATTAGTCATTGTCGAACCGACATGAATGTTTCGTGTGGTGGTCTGTAATTGTCTACTTCCACCTTCATTTCTACAGAGTGAGCGCTGACTCAATAAGACGAATGGGGTGGGTAAACAATCTCAGTGGCTCATTCTTACTCTCACACTCTCTTGCACATGTGAAGCACATTTTTTCATCATGTCTGCTCCCTTGCTAACCTCGCTATTGCATGCACAGAAACTGTGAAAATGTGCTAGAGCCAAACTGTCACATTTTTCTCTTCTTCTCTCTTTTGCTTTCTCTCAGATGCCTTTCACTCTCAGGAGTACAGCAAGGGGGTGAGGCAGACACAAGACGGATGACTAAATACTGAAAGGATGTTTAAAGAGATCCTGTATGGAGTGGGTCTTCTAGCTCGCCTGACTGTCTGCATGCAGATCAGCTGTCCATCTGCCAAAAATTTTTAGCAGACAGACAGCTTACTTGATTCGACTGTCCTCCATACTTACCTGCGGGATTTCCATTCTCTTCTCCCACATGCACATCCTTCAGCTAAGCACACAAGCAATACTTGGGACATTTTCAAATCTCAGACACACCACCCTTATCATGACAGTGTGCTTCCAAACCACCTCTGCTATAAAAAGCAATCAGTGCATGTTTCCCTCTGGAGTCCCAGGGGAGGGGGTGTTTAGGGAGGGGGGTCTCCATTTCTGGCTCACAAAAACACTTACTATTAGACAATAAAATAATATTCACTGGTGTTTGAAATCTGACCATGTCCACATGAGAGTATCTGGCTAAAATTAATTTAATCTCAGATGTTTGACTCCATAATATGTGCTTCTTTTTTGTTTTTGTTTATTTCGTGGGGAAGCACCTGACCACTTTTTCTGCTGTTAATGCCAATCCTGAGGAGATATAGTGCATGACCTGATGCAGAATATGATTTAAGTTTTAAAATATTTAAATAATCAGTATAATACAAGATTTTTACATGACACATGATGTTGTTTTGTCAGTGAGATATTTACTGTTCATTTCCTTATACTGTCACCACAGCAATCCCAAATTTCACCACTGTGTGATGAAAAGGGCTGAGCATGCTGATAAATAACAGTAAAGCCAATAATATAGAGAAATACTACATAATATATTTTTACTGTTCCTGTGTAGTGTCACTGCAACCTGTGTTAATGTCTTCTGTGTGACAGAGTGAGGTGTCTATGCGCATGTTTCTTCGTGTGTGTGTGGCTGCCAGCTTAAGAATTTATGCAATCCATCAACCAGCCACCATGAGCCTATTGACCAATCATGCATTCTCTGCAAGGATTGACTAGGCTTATTGTTAAATGAGCGAACTTAAAGTGGAAACTTAAATTTTCAGTAAAATTATGGGTGAGGTAAGACCAGAGTGATGATTCACAAGTTGAAGGTGTCTGTTAGCAACAGAAATGCAACATAGGCCTACAGTCTGTCAGAACATCTGTAAGTTTGCAGGACTAGCAGAGTCATGCTTGTGTTATTTATTTATTATGAAAAGACTAATATAAGATTTTAACTCTTTTCAACCCTTTCTGGCCATGGTATTACTTTGTTCCAGTTTACAGCTTTGCCTATTTAAAATTAAGTGAAGTGTGTTAAGTGGTTGAAAAATAAATGACTGAATAAATAATGAATGCCTAAATATAATTTCAATTTCGACGTCATAGCCTTAAAAGTAACTGACTATATCACTGACACACTCAAATTTCCAGTAGAGATGTAATGGAGATGTCAGAGCAGATCAATGTATCCCCACGCTCGGGTTACTGTTAACAAATTAAAACGATTAGGATCACCTTTACACTACACGTTACAGGCATTTATGTTTGGATCTGAAATGAAAATCCTACAGGGCACTCTAACTGTAACCGCTGTGGTAGGTGTCCTTGGTCCGAGCAGGGGACCAGACACAAAGGCTTCTGTAAACGAGACAAGATATTGAAAACTCAGAAGAATTCACCTTTGTGCCTACCTCATGGGTATTTTGACTCGCAGATAGCGGTCGATGGCGATGGCCAGCAGCGCCAGGATTGAACTTTGCGTGAGGACAAGCACTGTGCAGGCGACCAGAAGACAGCTGTAAAAGTGAGTCTGGAGTCCGATGCTGATGGTTATGGCGAGGGGGATGACAAGAGCCCCGACCGCAATGTCAGCCAAGGCCAGGGAGACGATGAAACAAAACGTGGTGTCTCGCAGAGATCGGTTAATACGCACAGCCAGGACCACCATCACGTTACCTATGACCGACGACAGGGCGATCACCACCTCCATCCCGATGTAGAGGGCTTTAGTGTGAGGCAGACCCGCAGGCATGTTCACTGACACTGGACGAGTGTGCGCTCAGCGGAGAAACAGCTCGAACACGGCGAGGGAGTTCCCTGTTTGAGTTTGTGGGCACCGACTGAGACACCCCGACACCGGTTTCGCATCTTTTATTCCCCCGCAGAGACAGAGGTAGTTTCCGTTGATCTGAATTATTTTCGGATCCGAACTTAGTCTCCATACAGTCCCGAGACGGCGATACCGAGAAGAAAGTGGTCCCAGCAGGCCGCCTGGCGGTGGGACAATAGCCTATGGACCCAGGATACTGAATGAGTCACAAGCAGGTTCCCAAAACGCGGATTAACAGTTTGCTCAATGTCAGGCATGTGTCAAAGGTCGGGAAAATAAAACAAATTTAGTCCCACATAGGCTAGTGTCATTTCCTGCTGAAACTGAGCCATTTTAAGTATTGTGCACAGTCACTCCATCAGGATACTGTGGGTATGCCCTTTATTTGGACATGATGTAGGCGGCCCAATACAGGCAAATTTCTATTTTTCTCGGAAACGATCCCAGTTTGGACATGGTGACAGTCAGGCAGTTAGTTCAAATTGTTACCCCCTTATATTCATATTGTAAGTCACATGTGTGACTGTCAAAGATACTTAAAATAACTTAATGGACTGGAAATTACGCTCAAATGTCCACATGCTTTCATCATTTAGACGAAACATAGGTATTTAGACCACTGGGCTCCCAAAAGTGTCAAAGTTAAGTGGGTTTTACCCACCACTACTGTATATCCCTGATGTTTTTCCTCAGTATTTACAGGCTGAAATGATGTGTGGGTAAAAAACTATAAGCCCGTGAAGCTTTGACACTCTGGAGAGGATGGAGGCACAGAAAGGAAACTGGATGAAGACAGATGCACACATGCTTTCTGTTGGAGGGAGAGAATAAAACAATAGTGGAAAACACCAGGTTGGTATCAGTGAAACAGCAGGACTCAGCTGCAGGACAGATGCACACAAACAAACTTATATAGATGCAAATGAGACTCATAAACAAGATGCATAAAGTCACGTGATCTCATGGCCTGCACATAGGAAGTATGGGCAGTGTTCACAAAGATGCAGTATGGGTAGTGCTTTCATCTGCTTTGTATTTGATTTTCAATCAGGACTGCAGTTTTTGGACAAACTTACCATCTTCCCCAGTTGGAGTGGGAAAAATATACAGACCAACACTCTGGCAACTTCTTCATAGACAGAACAGGACCAGTGTGGAGGCCACGTTCTCTCACCTTGATTACAAGTTTTTCCCCTGAGAATGATTCATGTCTCTCTCTGTCCTCAATCACTCATTTGTCCATATTTCCTCTGAATTTTATCAAGCAAGATGATTTCCCACCACTGTGGATGAAGCCATGGACACTCAACTCATAAGCTGAATTCACTTTTAAATACTTTGCCAGTGTTTAAAAACCTCTCTTTCTGATAAGCAAATACTAAAATTCATTCCTGAGCTGGAAAGAATGCAGAGGGAATGAGGAGATGCCTGAAATTCTTTGTCTCTTTAACATAAGAATGTGCAATTCAGTTAAAGTTACACTTTTTACAAACAAAAGGGCAAGTAGTCGGCTCAATAGATGGTAAAAAAAACCTAATTTGTGCTCATTATGTGCTCATATGGTCACTTTATAAAATGTCCAACCGGAGAGAATATTCTGGATCACTGTTACACTACAGTAAGCAGTGCCTATCACACCGTCCCCCCGCGCTGCACTGGGACACTCTGACAACGTAATGATCCACCTAATTCCTGCATACAGGAAAAATAAATTAAACCTGAGGGGAGGATAAAACAGTGGACTAGTGAAGCTATAGAGGACCTCAGTCAGTGGACTGCACTGACTTAGATGTGTTCAGGACTGCTACTAACAGCCTGGATGTTCCGTCAATAAGGTGGGAGAAGCTAAACGACTGTACTCAGAGACTACAAAACCACTTCTCTGCCAATGACGCCGCTGCTGTCTGAACAGGTTTCAGACAGATCACCAGCTATTAACCTAAAGCCCCCAACTCCATTAACGACTCTCGCCTGGCCAACGAGCTGAATCAGTTCTACTGTTCTTTTAAGAGACAATGGGACAGTCCTGACACCATCCCCCGTGACTCCACTGATCGATCAATCAACAAGGCCCGGGACCTGCACAGACACTGACTCTCATGCCCGCCCCCAAACCTCTCCCCCTCCTCCCCCATTTTACAGTAGGCTACAAACTGAAAATGTTTGTACAATAAAAATCGGAGGCACATGTAAATAACTGCCATCTTGCACATAGTCTCTATAATTCCCTTCTAACTTGTATATCTTGTCTATTTCATATTTTATATTTATATGTCTATTGCCACACACACTAAAGCAAATTCTTTTTATGTGCAGAAAGTACTTGGTAGTAGAAAGTACTTTTTTCTTTTTGTAGGGTTCCCTTTCTTTGTCAAGTATTGTTTTTTAAAATCCATTGTCTACATGTTTGTAAACACTGCCATTCAAAAGTTTGGAATCACTCAAAAAAAACCTGTACTTTTATTCATGATATATATTGTAAAATGTATGTTTCCTGTGTTTTCCATCATTTGGAGCAAAGTTTTGGGGTCATTATTTTGTCCTGACAAAATTGGCTCCAATCAAACACTGCCCACATGGTGTAGCATGGCGTTACAAAATGAGAGTTGTTCAATAAGCCTTTTAGGTTGTGCAAATCCCCCACTTCCCTAGCACCCTCCACCATGCTTGACAGATGGCATCAAGAACTCGTACAGCATCTTTTCATGTGTTCTGCGCCTCATAAATTTCTTCTGTGTGAGACGAATACCTCGAAATTAGATTGATCTGTCCACAATACTTTTCTCAAGTCATCCCCTATTCAATTTCTGTATTCTTTGTCGATTACAGTCTTTTCCTTTTATTAGCCAGTCTTATATATGGCTTTTTTTCTCCAAGTCTCCCTATAAGGTCAGTATCATGCAATTACCCTCTTAACAGTTGATGATGACCCTGATGTTTGGCGGCTAGTGTTCAATAAACCTGCCAGGTGAGGACCTGTGGGGCGCCTGTTTCTCAGACTAGAGATTTATCCTCCAGGACAGTTGTGGATCAGGGCCTGCCATTTCTCTTCCTATCCTAGATAAAGCCAGTTTGTGCTGTTCTATGAAGTGTGTGGTGCACACCCTTGTACATATGATATCTTTAGTTTCTTAGCAATTTCTGTCATTGAATTGCCTTCCTTTTTCAAAACAACAATTGATTGTCAAGTTTCTAAAGAAAGGTCTTTGTTTCCAGCCATTCAGGACCATAATCAAACCTGCAGATGCTGTCGCTTCAGATACTCAAATAGCCCAAAGCAGGCCACTGTTATTGTTTTGTTTTTGGGGTTTTTTGGGGCAGTAAAATTTACTCGGAATAACCCACTGATTAAATGAACAATGTGTTAAAGCTCTCATTGCTTAGGACAGGAGAGCTTCAATTTATTCACCAAAAAAAGCAAAACAGGCTCATGTGACATTTTAAACTGGAACTTAATCTTAGCAAAACTTTAAGATTAAGTGTTTAAATGAGGGCTCTGTGTCTTCCAGGCAGCTTTTGGGTGGTCCATATCCATATCACTATGAGTCTTTTACCTTACTGAGGTTTTATAATGTTGAGCAGACTGGCTCAAAACAGCTGCCTGATGATGCAAATGCCTTTAATCTTAACACTGTTTCTTCCATCCCTCCTTATACTGTGTATCCTATGAAGAAGATAAGCGTGGGACATAGAGCATGTATGTGAGTGCACAAAATACGTTCACAGACTTGCAAGATCTTATCTTTGCTGGAACAATGTAATATTTATGATACATGACCATGATTTTCTTTATCTGATTAACTGAGCCTGCTGGCCTTCTGCTATCATGAAAACTCTTCCAAGGAAAAATTCCTCATCCAATGACACAAAAACTATTATTAGAGTCATTGGAGAGAGCAACAAAGAAAACAGTCTCTTCTTCAAACATACTGTATGTATATGTACAACAGCACTGCGTGATTTTATCTTCTTCAGTTTAGCTTACCCTGTTAACTGCTGTCTACCTTTGCTGCCAGTGCTGTGTAGCACAGTGGTCCAAACTTTACCCAAGAAAAAGGGGTCTGCAGTAATCCCAGGGGTGTCATGCAGTATCTGGAAGCTGTTTTAATTAAGATAGGAGGAGCAAGGAGTATTTGTCACAATGGCCCACTTCATCTGCAGACTGTCAGTTCCAGTCGGTGTCCCCACCACTGAGCCAACAGGTGCTGGTAGGCAGCATGAGAGCACCGGCTGGATGAGGCTGTGAAATAAAATCGCAGAGGAATTGAATCAGTTCCTCTGCCTGACTCAAGCAGCAGAATCAGGATCACAAGTTCAAACTTTTAAGTATTTTCTTCAGGCAGAGTAAAGTTTCAGTGGGTATAACACAGATCTCCAACTGTTATTTACTTCAATTTAAGCTCATGCTGCTGGCAAATTCATCAATGCATTTACTGTCAGGGCTATACCTAATCAAAACACTGTTTTTGGAGGTGGAGATATTTTTTATTTAGTGTACGATCACCCTGTTTTGTATAGCATTACACTACCAGACTAAGAGCTGTGTTGCTCTCATACACTGTTAACAGTCTGTGACCACTCAGGTCAATATTTGTTCATTACCCATGTCGGACCCATGGTTGACATGTCTAAGGGAAATTGTGGCTGATCCCGCTGAATCCTGTACAATATAATCTTTGACTGGACTCAACATTGGCCTGATTACCTAAACCAAGGCACTGTTGCCCACCTGGATTACAAGATCCTGACCTTTGGCTTGTGAGCTCTTTGTCTTGAGAACAAAGACGTGTAAAATGTGCAGAGCAGGAGGGCTGAGCCAAGGAGTAAAAAGAAAGTACAGCTTCCCATCAGGGTGCGTATTACGAAATCAAATTTGTCTTGCATGCTCTGAGCATTAAGTGACAATACTGTAAGAGGTTTTTATCACGTTCCCCACTGTCAGAGCTGGTTTACAAAATTGTCACGACATGTCACATCCTTTTTCTGTGCAGAGTGCAGGGCAACTGCAATGAACTGAAAGCTAATGTCATCTAAATGCAAATATGGAGGCTCAGTAGACACTGGTGAGGAAAGATTATTGTACTGTAATAACCTAATAACATTGCATACATGTACATGTGTAACACAGCGTTTTTACTCAATGCCAGCCACATGCAGTCAAACAGTGATTTCACAGAGATTGGTCACGTCCACAATTTGGTCCATTGTCAGTGTCCCTAATAATGATGCTGATCTCTGCTCTTAAGCTGTTACTCTGCCCTGTGCGTTGTGTTTATACAGTATGTCACTTTCTGATAAAGTCTGATTATTGAGCAGGGCTGGTTGTTGCTTTACGCTGCTTAACCAGGATTTACATA